AGGCCCATCCTCCTAAAAGGATACACACCTGAAAAAAATAATAAATGAAAAAACCTGGAAGTGTCCTTTAATGGATCATGATGAATGAGGCGGAGATCTCAATAACGTGGCACAAAGAACTATTAGACCAGCAGCACTCTCCGTCAACTGGCACATGATAGGCCACCTTCTTCGAGTCTATATAGGGCAACTAGCACCCGTATGCATTGGCTCATTAGACCTAGGATGACAGGCTGCATGAGGATCAAATTCATATGAGTTGGAAAAAATCCCCACTCATAAATTCATTACCCAAATGTTCACCATCGGTTTTAACTGGGGCGGCCTTCGTCCCGACAAGGGGCATCCCTAGTGGAAACTTTATTCTGAGCTGCTACTTATTCCAAACCCATATTGCGATACCCTTTGGTATCCTGCTGCGGAACAAAAGCTGCCACCATGTAGGCACGTTCCTGTTCCTACCATATGAAAAAGTTGAGGCTATAGTCCTTCCCAAGGGAGGTCCGGGGTATCGGTAAAGATATGGGTTTCGGGTATCGGTGTCGGCTTCTTTAGAAGGCCTGCCATCACTACTGTTTGTTGACCACAAAGGTCTGCACCGGCACCACAGTGCGTATCAGTTGGGTATCGGTCATAGATGCATGCCAATGAAACAACATCTTGGGCAACATCACATTGTCACCGTTCTAAGGGGAGGGGCCGCCCAGGGAATTATGGCCATATCAAAGCTATAGCGCGCCACTATTGTAATCTTCATATGCGGGGTTATTTTTGGGCTCAAAAGGTCTTCTGATACCAGGACATGCCTGGAGTGAGGCTCCGGCTGACGCCGCCCGGGGGTTCTCACTGCCGGGCCAGGCGGCGGCCGCGCCTGTGGGGCAAATGAGGCGTCTTGACTTGAGCTCTGCCATGTTCTGTTGACTCTGCAAAACCAATTGTGAGGTTGGCAGTCGCAATCCTCTTTTGGAAGTCCTGGTTTGTCAAGTCCTGAAAGCCTCCAGTACAGAAGCAATCTTCAACCGCCCTGCTAGCTTTCGCTCGTATGTCATCTTGCCTTGAAATTGGTCTGTGACGTGGCTGAGCTGCAGAGCCTCGGTTGAAAGGTGCTGTGCCGTGGTTGCCATCCTGCGCAGATCGAACCCTGCGGTGCATGTGGAGGCCGTGGCGAGGCCATGGAATCTGCAGATGGCGAGCGTGAGCCCAGGCGCCCTGACAAGGACAGCTGACTGAGGCGGCTTCTGTGCAACTGGCAAGCATTTCAGACTGAGAAGCTGCCTTTAACTTCAACCAAAACCCGAAAGGCGTACCTAACTGAAGCCTTGAGACTCTATCATCTTCCATCACACACGCTGCCTGATTCGGATCGATCCCAAAGGTATCTTCGGCTCCTGCCGGCAGTGGACTGTCGTGCTTTTGAGGATCTACCGTTGCACGGGCCAACGCAAAACACTATTGGCAACATCATGAACAACTCCCGAAACCACAAGCTCCCAGCGCAAGACAAAGAAGAGAGCAAAAAGTGCTGGCTTAAGCTCACTGATGATACCTTGACTTAGAAGTAACCTGAAGACACTCTTCAGTCAGGAAGCCTAACCCGCAAACCCTTCGGCACTTCCGGCAAGAAGGTCCCGCTTGAAGCGCTGCTGAGCTCTGAGTCGCTAGTATCGTCGAGGTCCGCCAGCATGCGCCTCGCGGCGGTTGGGTGTGCCCGACCCAGGGTGCCCTCAAACGCCCGCCCTGCAACACACAGAGGAGAGGAACGGAAACATCTCGGTGCTTTGTGGCTGCTCCGAGTCTTAGCCTGAAACCAGCGCTTGGCGCGGAGACATTTCGACGCAGCGAGGGCGCTATGTCCTGTCGAGTTCAGCTCGGAGATGTTAGGAACACATCATACCCAAATGAAGCACATGTACAGGCATTCTCCGACCTTTCTACTGTACCTGGTGCTAGATGGAGAATCTTTGCGTGGGGAATCCTCTTAGTGAGGGTAAGAAAAAAACAATAACCCCCTCCGCTGCTCGGTGCGTTTCGGCTGCAGGCTGTTACATTGCAGGCTTGAATTCTGAGTTTGCCGAGTGCTCATACCGGAACAACATGAAACAATAGTTATCTGCTTGAAATTCGAGTCATCAACTTCAAACATGTCCAGGAGCCAACCGCAGGTTGACATCGTGGCTTGAGGACATTGAACTAGCTTGGCTTTGTGAACTACTGGGCAGTCAGACGCTGAAACCTGGAGCAAGCCTATGTGCCAGCATTTGGGCCCACTCTGAATTGGAGGCCCAATCAGCAGACCGCGATGTGGGGTCATAAGCGCAGAATTCCCACGTGGGTCTAGGAGGGTGAGCCCTGCCTCTTCTTCCTCCTCTCTAGTTGGCTCCTTGGCCGGGTCCTCTGTTGACGCGGCCTCACGTTGCCACATGGAATGGGGAACGGCAACAAGGAGGCGGTTTCATTTGTTGTGCGTGCGGCTTGCCTTAGGCGGCTCTCGTCTATAGATTGTGTGCACACAAGCTTAATCTCTACTCGTGAATTTGTACGTGACACCGCCCCTTTCTTGCTATACCCTCCAAAGCTCTCGGCGTCAGACATCAATATGAGGAACCCACAACTCCCGCGTCTGCCTCAGCCTCCCTGCCGTTGCTTTTCCATGGCCAGAAGCCGAACAGCGGCATTGTCGTGGAGCGCACGTCCCCCAAGAGCTCTGAAAAGAAAGTAAGTACACTTACTGTAGGGCATGCTGCGTAACTATGCTTTTAATGCTTCTGCAACCGTACAGGGTGCTACCCTGCTAGATTCTACTACATACTTTTTGAGAGGAAGCTACATACACGGCCTAATGACTCTTCTTGTGGTCATGAGGGGATTTCATGAGCCAGAAGCTGAGCGAAGTTGTACTCTAGGTGTTGCTGACAAACTACGCCCTTTAGGCTTATCCGCATGGTGCAGCATTTGTGCAGGCTGCTTCGTGTTGCTGACCCCGTCAACTATTGGAGTCACTTCAGCTCATCTATTTCCACCGCCCACGCGACTGGATGGTCTACCGCCTGACCTTGATGATCGTTACCAAGGGGCCCTTGGCCCTGCTCTGCTCTCCTGATTTGGATGGCCTCCAAGCTGCCCCACAGCCACAACCCAAGGACTCCTAAGTTCTCGCTTCAATGCATGCTTCAATGCGTCTGCTGCTGCGTCGGCATCTCCAGCCTTCCGTTCAGGCGAGCAGGCAAGAACATTAATATTCAATATTCATCTCCGGCGTTTTAGTCTACCGCTGCTGCTAACTTCTGAAAAGGTAGGAACACCAGAGTCTATTATACAACACCGAGCTTCCTGTTGAAGTGCGAGAGTCCCTCTTAAAACTCCGTTCTGCCAAAAGGAATCTCATCCCAACCCAGAGATGTACCCGGAGCATGGATGGATGCGAGGCATCAATTGGGCTTTGCGCTTTCAGGGAGCGCCAAGTCATTCTGGCCTCCCTGCTGTTTGACTGGCTGGAGCCCTTCTTGAGGGTTTTGAAAAGATGCCAGGCTTGTCTACAAGGCCCATAAAGGAGGTGTACGGGGATATGCCGTGGCCGCGGGACTTCGCGGCCCCTCCGTGAAACCTTCACGGCCTCAAGCAAGCAAAGCGCATCAGGGATGAAGCTTGTCCTAGAGATGCTGCACGAGGTGGGTTTTGAGTGAAGTCTCTTTAGATCTCTGTAGGTTCTCGGATTTTGGCCATGAAGCCTGGGAGTAGCTTTGCCAGAGGTCATGCTGCCAAAGTCTTCCTTCGGAAGCCATGGCTGGATCAACTGCATGGAAGGTCTCAAAACGCGGTGTTATTGGGGCATTCTGGTTGCATTAGGACATACGTTTTGAGGCACACCAGTCTTGATGGGTCAGGGAATAGTGAAAGTAGCTTCCGTGTGAAAATAACTGGTCTGCTTCCAAACGACGGTTCCCTGGCCCTCACTTTGTGGAGGCTACACTGTGAAAACGAAGCCCCACAACCTACAGACTTGTCCTACAGTTGCTGGGTTTGAAGCTGCGAGCTTCCTGAGCTTCAGATCTGAGGCTGCAAGTTGTTGTACGAAAGCTTCCAGAGTCGGGCTCTTCAACCTAAATCTATGGCGGCTGATGGAAGACTGCAGGACCCAGGAGCGTCTTACCCCCCGGCCCTGCGCACGACAGTCTCTGCCAAGCAAGGTTTTGACTTTGACCAAAGGCAATGGTACTACGGCATTCACAGGACCCAGATCCCTATGTCAGACCGCTTCCTTGCCAGAGAGCACCAGACATGGATGACCCCGTCCACATGCGACTCGAAAGAGAACAAGAAACAAGAGGTTTCTCACCCACAATTACTCGGAGTCCTACCACCTTGGTCAGAATGCAAATCATTGCCCAGATCACGAGGGTGTCCCCCGAACAAACCACAGTAGAGGAACTGAGAATTGAGCAGAGACAATCGCATTCCATAAGCTGATAAGCGGCTGGAGATGAGCAGCTCCTATGTGCATGTTGAGGCAAGCCAACTGCTGGAGAATTACCTAAAGAGTTGACTATCAAGATCCGGGGTCGTACGCACGAGTTGCTTGGCCTCGGGAATGTCTGGATGGCCAAACGTAATGCAAGCTTCTAAGTAGGCTGTGACAAAACATGACAAAACGGATGATGACGCTTTATTGCCTTCCGTTCTAGAAATCTCTACCTATCTGCTCCAGAAGTTGGCCACAAGCTCCGCGTGCTCTGCATCTTAAGTACTGGCGTCTCATGCGACTGTCAGTCATCAAGCATACCTGGCACACGCAGCTTTGGATCTGCAAACTCGAAGCCCCGAAGCCAAAGCCGTTCTTGCTGCAGGTAGCAGTTTGCTACGAGTGGATTGCCTCTTCAAGAATCAATGAATGAACAATATTAGAGTTAAAGACCCAGCCCTAGGCAAATCTCACTTCCTGATAAAAACCCCTTCGGGTCAAATCTTTGACTCGCCACTCCGGTTCTGTGGAGACAAGGGGCAAAGCAGCGCCACGCCACGTCGAACCCAATGGCCTTGGTCCTGTGCCCCAGCAGAAGCGGTGGGTTCAAAGATGCCCCCAGAACTCCAACACTCCTGGAGCGATAGTTGGGTTCTATTGCTGGTAGCCTTCTAGCACGCAAGACAAAATTTCTGTTAAAGACGCTCCTCCTCATTGCTCGGCAGCCGGATGTAGCAAACAAAGTTGGTGGAGTGGCCTGAATCGTCTGCAGCGAGATGCTTTGGCGCTCTGAGAAAGCTACTGCGTCCGCTTGTCTTTGACCCAGCCAAAGCAGTTCTTAAAGGAGAAGCCTCCTTCTTGAAGGCAGCGCTCACATCCAGGCTTGAATCGCAGTCCAGAATTCCAAAAATAAACCTGTGAAATCTTGTGCAAGGACGCCTTGGTTACGAGCGATACTAGGCTGATTCCATCAACACCTCCCTCTCAAGTAGCAGTGGACCTGTGGTCGCCAGAGTTCCCTTGCGGAGGGAAGTCTTGTAGAGGGGGCAAGTGTACCTGACAAATGAAACGTGAGTGGCAAGCAGCCAGATAAATGCAGTGCTGCGAGTCTGGGTCGACACCGGCTAGGGGCTCACCACTCTCACAGGCGAGGGCCGATCTCGCATGTTAGGGTGCGGACCCGGAAAGTAAGAAAAACTCCTTCCGCGCAGCCCCCCTTCCAAGGCACTGATCGCCCCTACACCTCTGCCCAGGGCCATGAGCATGCAGATGCGCTATAGCAAACGTCTCTTGCGTGCTTCACCTTCACAGTATCTGGTAGAACTTAGGTTGCATGGCTAACTGAGCATGAAGCCTGGACAAAATGATCTCCACACCACATTGCACCCCAAACTGGGTTTGGGCCTGCCTTCCAGGCTCGGTCGCATTCTTCTGAAAGGTTGCCTAGCACCAGGCTGACAGCAATAGGGCTTCCTGTGGCGTGGGACGTTGCCAGGATTCTTGGAGTGTGGAATACACGCATCGCATCCTAGGAGTCCCAGTAACCCGCCACAGATCAGACCGTTCAGAAGCCAAACTGTACCGTGCCCTCTTCAAATCCCAAATACTGCTTCTCGTCCTGCACTGCCATGGCTGCACAAGGCTCGTAAACTGAACGGCTCAGTCGGCTGATCCCAAAGGTCTTGGAGTCTTGGAGAGCAACAGGCCTGTTGCTACTCCAATCCCTGTACTGGAACAGGCAACATTCCCAGCCTCCTCAACCACCTGTACCCAGATCACCGGCAGCTCCTTGAAAAGGACTGCCTGCAAGCAGCATCACAGCTGTAGGCTTGGCTAGCTTGGGCGGTGGATGATCGTATTAGTCCTTTTGCATCAATGGGCTCAGGTACAAACGGCTCTTGTGGAAAGCTGCAAGCGAGAAACTGGCTTCAGCACACCATCATAAGTTCCACAAACGCTCACCGAAGCTTTATTTTATTTTACAAGTTGTAAGCCAGACTTTGCAGCTTTCAAGTCTTCGTTGGAGAACAGCTGTAAGCACCTTCTCGGACTCCACCATCTTCTTCGAGGGGACGTCCCAGCCAGCTCCCTGACATTTCTTGTGCCAACCCTCCTCTCATCACGGCGCCCTCTTAAATATCGGTGATTCGAGTTTTTGTGCCTGTTGCTAGAAGCTTACTACAGGCACTCCCAACTTTAGCAAATTTTGTTACAAAGCAAGCAAATGAAGATAACGGTTAAAGAATCGGAGGGGAAACTAAGGATGGGCCCAGCCATCTTTGTGTTCTGATATGTGCACCAATATCTGCTCACTGTGAGCTCTGCTGTAGTGTAGGCCATTTAATTCTGGTGTTAACGATGGCCAAACGAAAAGCTGTCAGTCCGAAATTCCACGGACTTGAGGAATCCTGCTATGAAACAGCCATTCCTTTGCCGAGACCAGCCTGCCATTGCTAGTTTGCCTCGAGTTTCAGATTCAAGGCCTGGAGGAAGAGGCCGTGCACGTTCACACCATCCACCTAGGTGAAATGAGAGCGGAGTCAAAGGTTAAGTCAACTCACTGCGCGAGCAGATTTCCAAGGTCAGAATTGACAGATTGCTTCGCAAGAGTCTGCCGTCTGTTCGCACCATTCCGAACTCAAGACTCCAAACCTCTCCCTGGTAAACACCCACGACTGCAGTCCCACAACATGCAAACAGCTACCGCATTCCAAGTTCTCCAAAAAGGCTCTCTGATGTTTCAGGTCCAGATCTGAGGCCGCTGCTGGCGGGTCCACCATTCGAGGCTCAGTGCAGGTGGTAGGCTCTTGCCAGAAGACCAAGGCCTGAAAGAGGCAGACAGCTGCCCCTGGATAATCCTCTCCTGAGATCCAAAACAAACCTGATGAAGGCCAGAGTGTCTTTTTAGTGGCCAGCTGAGCTGCTCTGGGCATGCAAGCTTAGGTTGTTGCATGTCTGGGGTTTGTTTGACCTGTTTGGGATATTTCCAGGGCTGTGGGTCATCTTTGCACTGGTCAGGCGAGATTGCCGACGTTTCTCGCCACGGACAGTCACATGATCTTCCACAGCCCATGCCATCTGAAGTCCAAGGCTTTATGGGCGGGGCATGCTGACATCTCCAAAGCCAGCCACTGAGACCATCGCATCGATGGGAATCTTGGTCTTACGCGCGTGCACCTGCAGAAGGCATACAATCCTCCTTCGAGTATGCTCAAGAACCTGTGCCAGCCGTATCGAAAGTGCTGCAGCATCGCTACTACCTGTGTTGCCGTTACAGGGGAAGCGAATGGCTTCTCTATGCTTCGCGGCCTGGCCTGCTTGGAGCATGTCATGAAACCTTGCGGGAAGTAGAAGCAGGGAACCTGGGACGCCAGGGTGCAAAGGTGGCAAGTACAGTCCACACCTTCTCGAAATCGCAGCCGTCTTCAGTCAGTCTTCATCTCATGCCCATCGCCATGATCGTAATATTAATGACAGCGGTCCAGACTCTGGATTTTCATGGGTCATAAATCAAAGAAGGCAATGAGCCAATTTGGTTGCCACAGGTTGTAAGACGGCGAGTGGACTCGAATCCAGATTCCGAATGCTTTGCGTCTCCTGTTAGAGAGACCTTCCTTTTCAGGCCACCTGAGGCTGGGGCCCAGTAGCTGGAGGGTGGGCCCATCTTCAGCCAGCTAGTCATGAAGTCAATTCGCTCCTGGCGAAATGAGCAGAAGCTAAGCAAGGAAGGTGCCAAGAATGCAGTTTTACATTTCGCACCTATTTGAGCAGTGTTTCTTTCAACCTACTAAAGCATTTAAAATTGCGCATGACAATAACTCGGCAAACCCTGGTCCGAACACGAGGCTTTCCTGTGTGTGCGCAGAAGGCGCAGAAGCTTCACGGAAGCATTTGTTCGCGGAAGGGCTTGCGGAAGCTCAAATTTAGAAACTTTGGTTGTGGCTTGCAGCAGTCTTCGAAGCCCAGGCGCAAGTAACAAACACTACAAGCTGTACTAGCAGGAGGTACGCAGAAGGCCTTCGCGGAGGGGTAGCTTATCATATAAGAAAAAAGCCATGGTTCATGTGGATGTGCGGTGCAAGTCTGTCTCACATTGGCTGGCCCTTGCATGCCCAATCTCCCATTTACTGTAACGGCCTCTTGTGAGGAGGCCTAACCTTGTGACAGCCTCATGCCTCATGATGCTGCCGTCCTTCTGCGAAATAACTCAGCATAGCAACTCCCAGAGAACAACAGCAAAATCTGCGGTAAGCTCAGCTCGTGGTCAGAAGCCCAGGTCTCAATCACCACATCAACCCTTACAAGAAGTACATGCTCGGGGCTGTCCTCAAAGTCCGAGAACCATGAGTTCAGCGGCTTCAAGCACGGGTAGGCAACCTGTGCCAAGGTGCAGCCCGAAAGGAGAGTGGAGTTGAGTCCACAGACGTAATTGGGAGGAAAATGAAGTGATGCGTCATGTTTCTGGCTTTAATGTGCTTTCTGGCAGCCCAGAGACAGAGCAGAACTTCTAATTGAACACGCAAGTATGCCCAACAGTGTGTAGAATTCAGGTACCCTCTATGCCTCTATGATCTATGCCCAAATGTGGCTGTAACTCCTGCCTGGACAGGGGAACGTGTAATTGCCAAGGAAATGTGGGAACATCCTCATTCTGGAAGGGCGTGGGGATTTGGTTTGTTCCACAACATATCAGCATTGCACCCTTTGCTCAGCGTGAAGGCAGCTGAAATCAGCTGAACATTGGGGACAACGCAATTTCTGCTAGGCCTCTTGTCTAACTATCGCTCGCAGACCCATGCGAGAACAAACAGGACAACCCACACAAGATTGGAAGGGTATCTGATTTCCCGGAACATAGCTCATTAATGTCTTTTTCGGCTAACCAATCAATATACTCGCAAAAGAAACCAAAATTTCTCCTTTCGGTAGCAACTTTAGCGAGTTGGGCTTTGGAGTGCTTTTGGGTTTTACGTATTAGGTGGGAAATGACTGGCCCAACTTACCCCGAAGCATACATCCTTCGCGGAGCCTCACCCCAAAGGGGCGGCAGCTGCTGTGAGAGGAAGCAATTGTACATCTCCTGACAGGTTAGGCAGCTTGCCGCTTGCTGCTAGTGCTAGCTTAGGCGCTTGCTTTGTACAACGCGGTAGTACAGCGACAGCACTGTTTTTGTAACGTGGCTGTTTTTGAAATGTCTCTCCTTTCTGTAGTTTAGAAATGACCTACTGTAATTCGTCTCCAAATTGATGAAAATATCCAGATTTCAAAAACACCAAACTAAGAAATTGAGGGCTCAATTTAAGAAATTGAGGGGCTCAATCTCTTAATCTGGCCATTTGTGAACTCTCTTACTTGGATTAGAATTGAATAGACCTGGTGAGGCGCTGCGAGATTCTGGGAGGTTTTGGGAAGGCCGGGGCGAAAATGACGCATGCAGGTATTGAACCCAGCATCTGCAGCATCTAACCGGGCCTCCAGCTGCGCAGACATCACGACGAAACCCTTGATGGCTTTGCCCAGAGTTACCAAGGTGTTTTGCACCTCAGAAATGTGTAGGACCCAAGCGGCAACACAATGACATCCGGGCTTCCATGGCACTTTGTCTGTGGGAGGAGTGCTTGGCTACCAAGTTGAAGGCACTGGAATATCAGAAAAAAAGCAGGGCATCTCGGAAAGTCTTCCTCACAGGCAAACGAACCCTGAGGGCTCAACCCGGCTGATGAGGACGTTGAAGCGATCCATTTCCTGCCATGGCTGACTTCACATGATGTGATTCTCTGCGCCTCTAACAGACTTGTGCAAACAAGTTCTTGAAGGTCTCCGCCGACACAGCCAGAATACCACAGAGAGGCAGGACAGGGGCCCAGCATTGGGACAATCTCGGATTGGGAATGATGGTGATGCTGCCCTGGTTCCCATCCTGGCCGTGGAAGACGCCCAAGGACACAATGCCCCCATCGGGTGTCTTCTTGTACCTGGCCGGGGTTCTTCATTTAAAAAATGCAAAGCCTTGAGTTTCTGCCAGGTAAAGGCCTCACGCGGTTCCAATGGGACTGACTACGAAGTTTTCTCAAGAAATTTGACTAAGGACTCCAGGTTCCGGCTTCCATCTTGGAGCCTCAGGCTGAGGCTGTTTTGCAACGCTGTCCAGTGCTCATTGCTTTATGTTCATATGGTGTGCCAGTGTACCCTCAACGTCTCCCAGCGTCTGCTAGGACCTTATGGGGCCACGTGCGTCAAGGGATGTGACTTTCTGCAAGTCGTTGCAATCCTAAATCCCTCATCATGCCTAGAGTCTAGAAACCCCGTCCGCTTACATAACTTGCGACAGACTCCGGAACACACAAGATAATGGACCCAGGACTCAGACTCACCGTCAGCAATCCGCTGCCCCAATCACTTGTCTATTACAGGGCCTGACCATGTCTGCGCCGGGCAGGCATGTATTCTCAAGTCAAGTGGAGAGAGTGCACGCAAGGCTTTAACTGGCAGAATGACTGGAAGCATAGCAGTGACAAGCTCCGTCTTGGTGGCGTACGTCTCGGGGTGTGCTTGCTTCCGCAGCATGACTGCTGGCACACGGCCATGGAATGCCTGCAAGGCTGGATCAGCAAACGTATTGGGTACAAGTCCCCTTGAACACTCGTCAATGGTGCAGAATTCTACTGGCCGAAAGCGACTGCATGTGGAATGCAGGATGTCCGTCGCCTCAGCCATCTCGGCCACCAGCTCCTGAGAATTGTCACTTCGTGTCTGTGCCCTGAACCTGCACAGTTGTTAAGTTGCTTTACAAACTTACAGATGGTCTCAATATGTATTCCAAGCCAATGTTGAAAGGAGCTTTAAGCAAACCCTCATGCAAGAAAATGTTGCCACGTCTGGCCTGGAGATCCTGAGCATGCCAGGATGTGTAAAATATGGGTGCATTGCTGATTGTTTTGAGCTGATCAGAAGCCCTGGCTCGTGGCATGCATCTCTTTCTTGACACGGCCCCAGTTATTCTCGAGGTCTCCTCTGGACGCTTGCCGCCCCCAGCAGCAGCAATGCGTGGCTGCACGGAAAGGATGATTCCCAGGAACTTCCGGGCTTCCTCCCAGCGTTAGCGTTGGTGCTTGGCTTAGATGGGACGGTGGCCTTGAACGTATGTGAAATCACTGCCTTTGTGAGTGTTCTGGCGTTCCAGTTTGATATTGAGGTTGTTGGGGTTCTGGCTTCAGGCCAGTAGGAACTGGAGCTGCGCAAAAAAATACCCGCGCCTGACTGCAAACGGCTCTAGCCTGTTACTGAAGGGGTGCATACAGCTGGAGGGTCTCCTATAAAGCAAAAGAACAACAAGAACCTCATAGACACCCTGTCTGCCACTCCTCTGTCTGCGCCGTGATCTGTGCGTTTGGGTGCAGCCCGAAGACCTGTCACTCGAGGGCTCTCTCTGCCTGCTCCAGGCTGTCCAACCTTGCTCACCCCGCTGCATGCACAACATACATGACGTTAGAACTTCTGGACTGGACTTAGTGCCAAAAGCCACTAGAAAACCCTTCAGTCTTCGATGCTTTGTATAGGGAGGATCGATCCAGACAGAAGAAGCCCGCCCACCTGCGGATCTTCATCAAAGGGCAAGCCGCGGACGTGCTCGCGGACCTGCAGCTGGCCAATGTTGCGTACTGTACGCACATCACGGGCCTCATGTACTGCGAGGCGAATGGCAGCAGAACTGATGAAGCTTGGGTTCAGTGCGGATCTGTGCACATGTGCGTATCTGCTGAAACAGTAGATGCTGCAAAATTCAAAACGAAGACTTCGATAAGCCCAGCCTCTTCCAAAGAGCCTTCGTCCGGGCCTCAATTGGCAAGGAAGTTCCCACATGGCTTCAAAGGAGCTTACGAAAGGGTGCTTGTTCAGAGAACGACTGGCTACCACAGCGTTGAGACTTGGAAGCAGAACCTGTCTGAAGCTCTTTTTCGAGCTAGTTAAACTAGTAAAAGAAGCTTCAAAACAATGTGCATGGCAAGAAGCTGATTCCCATGCTTGAGCATTGTTGAGAAGTACCTTGAGCCAAGGCGCAAGTGTACTCGTCCAGGGGGCTCAGCTTGTAGCCATCTTGAAGCACCTCGTTGTAAGCACGCGAGCATCCACGGCTTGAAAAAAAATGGAACCACAAACCAAGGCTAAATCTTGATGCCAAGGCACTCCTTCGTTGAAGTATCGCTTCAGGAAGGCGCTGATGAGACGAACGTCCTGAAGCTACTGTCTTGAATTCCTTTGCTCCCACCTACCCTAGCGGGCAGATGGAAAGACAGCCAATCTTCGATCCCAACATGCATGGCTGCTCGTTAGGCCATTTTGGGAAGTGCGCAGCCCTGACACCCTGTCCTTGTCGTCAGTCACGCGGCCTCCGTAATTGACCTGCACATGGGGAGCTTCAGGGCGGGCGGGAGCTTACAGTTCACAGTCTGCTACACTTTGCATGAGCCTTTCAATTCGCTCGGTTCGACCCCAGGGACACTCACATGCGGAACTGGTGGCGCACAAGCTTTTATCTGCCCTCTTGTCATAAGTCATCTTTATGATTCGTCTGCTGCCGGACCTGCACTTGCTTGCAAGCTTTACAACATTGACAAAGCATGCTGCGGGGAAGCCCGGATCACTCAGTCGTCTCCACCACGAAACAAGTAGCAGCCTGCACAGAGACCAACCAGGATCGTGCTTGTGGCACCACATTGCGCTACTAGACAAGCTGCAATGCATGACAGAATGCACTCTCAGAACACATGGCCTGGCCTAAGCCGATGGTGAGAGTGGTTGCAAGCGTCCCGAGGACCTGAACCAACCCTTTTGATTTAAACAGACGGCTTGATATGCCTGGAGTCTCGGTCTTGAAGGTCCAGCAAACAAGATGCACTGCTACTTCGGGGGCCAGGCACATCCACACAAGTTGAGGCCGGACAGTTCTTCCATGAGCTAGCTGCAGCTAGTTTCTGTCTGTTCAACTCCAGATTTCATAAGCCGCCCACTGCAGTCGTCGCCATGGCCTGTAAACATCACAACTGTCTATATCCTAAGATGTCTCACCATTGTCTCTTGCACCGTGGACAAGTCGACTGAAGCACATCCTACGGTGTCTTACAAAATATAGAAAAAAAGGGTAGGCTCAAAGTGCGAGTTCCTCAGCACAATTTAACCGCCGAAAGGAACGGCTTTTTTTGGCAGAAAGCCAAACAAATCAGGGCATGTCTGTAAAACCACTCAGCCTGATGGAAGCTTCTGCAATTCAAATCTCAACAAGCAAGTCTGAGCTGCCGCGCCTGTCGCTGTGCCATGCGGATTTGTTGAACCTGACACACTGTATGCCTTGTTGACCCCCTACTTGAAAGGTCCAGATCTAAACAAGCAAGCAAACATCCACACATATTAATGGTCCAACCCTTGGGCACCCATTTCTGGTGTTTGTGACAAAGGTGTGAGGCAGCCACAAGAATTTCACAGCTCCTCCTGACTGCCATTACAGCAATTGGAGGCCGTCTGCCAATGTCTTGATTTATGGAAACGATCATGACTTCAAAGTAACACGGCCCGAGGTAACTGATGTGAGTACGCGCGTCCCAAGGAACATCAGCTTTGAACATGAAGCAGGCGCCTGATGTACACCTAAAATCCAGCTAAATCAAAGCTCTTGCTGCTGTAGTGGCAAGGACAAGGAGAACAGTCAGACAACAACAATAAGTAGCAAAACTCTTCAAATACAAAGAGGGATAGCAATACTAAATTCTCATGGCAATCAGTGAAGGCCGTCGGTATTATTACTCAGAGTATTTGCAATTAGTAGCGATAGGCGATAGGCTGCCGGCCTCCCAAGCCTGCTTCTCCTCCAGGGATGAAAGTTTAAGGCTGTGGTGTTGGGTGCGGAGGGTTTCGGGTGAAAGTGGTCAAGCCTACACAGACAGTGAACATACGAGGACTTGTTGAAGCATGGACAGGTTGCTCGCTGCATTGGCTCCTCTTTCGTCTTGGTTATACGAGCTGAACCTACAGACCTTGTACTGTACCTTAGCTCCACCTCATTTCTGCCTATGGGTGGGGCAACTTTGCTCGGTCAGTGCGGCTTCGTCAATGCCCTTTGCAGTCGCTGAGATAGCTCGAAGTTGTGCTAGTCCAGTGAAGTAACCATGGGGCTTGGTGGCTTACGTCCATAAATTTCCTGTTCTCCGTCCAGCCCAGCAGGATCCACCACTAGGCTCACTTGCGAGTAGAATGAGCCCAAGATCGAAAGTCCTTTGAGCGCGGCCCGGTTTGCTTCCCTACGCCCGGCAAGCATGGAAAAACCCGGCTCCGTGGCTACAAGTTCTGCAGTGTCGTTGAACTTCTGGAAGCAAACGTCAAGGCATCGCCTTGGCACACAAGTTCGAACAGCGCGGTGTCATGCGAGCAGCAATCCGATACGGAAAGCTCGTAAGGCCGAAAGTCGGACTCTTTCATCACATGCAAGCTGGATTTTGAATACACGAACCTGCGCTACCTGTGCGCGAGTGATTTTTTGGTTTGTTACCCTTGCTCCCGACTTACATGAATCTAGGGGCTTGTTCACTGAAATAGAACAAATGCAGGGCTCCCCAGGAAGCCCGGCCAAAAGCGCTGGAAAGCAGTCTTTTTCTGATTGTTCGCCGTGGGTGCCGCGGCATTTGGGCCTCCCTCTGCAGGTGGCCGCACCCTGCGGACGCTGGAGGATGCCGTCTTTCGTGGCCATCTCTAGCCCTCATGAGCTTTATATGGCAATGCATGAAATCCACGGCTGGCAGTCTGGGAAGATGTTATCTGTAAAGCTGAAATCTGAGGTCTTTGGTCCTTGAAAGGTGTGGCCACACCAGGTTGTACTTTTTCAACCAGACCTTTTACAACCGACACCAACCAGCTCGAAACCAACAGGGGCTTGTCTAGACATAAGATAGATAACGTGCACATAATAATCAAGCTGACATCGTTGCGCTAATGTTCTGGGAGACCTGGATCAAGTTCAGAATGTTTCAGGTGGCATCCTCAGCATTCCGCCGAGTCTTTCTGTCTGCAGATTTTCTGCACTTCAGAAAACTAAGCTACCTTGCAGACTCAGGACAAGCAAAGCACTGCTTTCGCCAATCCTTGCGAAGCCAGTTGGGTTCAATCTCCAAAGACCTGTGCTTTGCCTGTCGATCTCCGCACTCCCAAAGTACCCACGAGCTCTCGCTCGGCTTGCTATATAGCAAGATAAGGCACCGTGCTAATCAGTGAAGCGCACGCCGGCCCACGCAGAACATGGATCACACAAATTGCTTACGTCCACCTACTGCAACCACCTGCAGGGAACCTAACTCTTCACATGGCATTTCTGCAATGCCCAAAGGGCGCGAGGGCAACCGGCGTGGCGTTCACTGCACTTTCGGTAGCTCCAGGGTACTGGACATCCCAGATCCTTCAGAACGTTGCCTTTCCTTCTGCTCCTCTAGCACCCCGCAGCACCACTGCTAAGTTCCTCCAGCGACCGTTGCCGCAGCCAGCATCCTCTTTGAGAGGCGCCGGCAGCAATGTGCGCAAAACAGATGCCCAAAGCCCCCCAGCCTCATTCAGAACCTTCAGTGCTTGAACGATTCAAAAACATGTTGAACATTTCCACATTATCACAATGGTTTACAGCGGGCGCTTGATGTGATGCTTCTTCATGTATTTGCTGCAGTGCCACATAAACAGGAAAGGTGCCAGGATTGCGTCCATCAAAAAGGCTTAGCTCGACAGCCTGCATCACTTCATAACCATAGCTTGTGTTTGTCAATCTTGCCTTCTGCGCTGATATTTTCTTAGTGGGGCACTGGGCGGTGAGGTACGCCACATCAGATACTGATTACTGCTCCGGGTTCAGAGCGTTCGACGCATCAGCTTGACGAAATGTCAAGCCAACCGATTCAAGCAACTTGCTCGCCATTCTCCAGGCACGATGTCAGGGGTCCGTGACTACTATAACTGCCGCCTGTAGGCACTAAATCTGTAGCGTTTAGGAATGCCTCGCAAACTGCGAGGCCTGACCATCTGCAGGATGTATGGCTGAGCCAGAACAAAACTCCACCAGCTAAGCACCAGGGCTCAACATGGTCAAGGCCAAACGACGTTTGCAAGATTTTGCAATGTTGGATTTTGTGACCCTCAGCCTCAATCCAGAATCTGTGAGACCTGAAGCGAACGAAAGCTAGAGGGAAGACGATGCCGGCCGAGTGCGGTCTCACAAAACGTCAGGAACCCTTGAACTCTGTTGCTCTGAAGATTTGCAGGGTCAGCAGGTAGTATACCGAGATGGACAAAGTTGCTAAAGCTGACAGTCGCATCCCAGATTTCCCCGATCTCCCCGAGCAAGCAAGAAGATACAAGGAGCTAGGACCTAGGAGTGTTACCATTCACAACTTGTCTATGGCCAGCTGTGGGCACGCAACTTGCCGCCAACCCACGCGACAGGCTGTCGTCATCCACATCCGTCGCATCGGGGAGATGGCCACGCTCAATGGGACTCCGCTGGGCTCGGAATTTCTGACTGCAAATCTGCACGTAACATCCGTGCATGCTTTCGATGTATCTATGCACGCACTGCGTTCCTATCCAACCTGAGACGAGTGGCGTCTACCGCACAGGCTGTTCCGCAACATTGAAGTGTGAAGCCGAGCCCTGAGAAGGAGCCCAATCTAAAAGATGAGCGCAGCCCGAAACAAGTGCTTCGTGCTTTCGAGAAGGGCGGAAACAGGCCATAAGAGATTCATGTCAGCAACCGATAGACTCGACGCATGTGCACTTCCCTTAATTAATTAGTACCATACCTTACACACCCTTGCGCCCATGTTGACAAGCACTGAGATGCAGGCACGGAGGCACGGCCTGCTTGCCGCGCCATCAAGGAATAGTTCAAAAGCGCTAGGAAGGCTTCTTAGAGAAGCTGGAAAACCTGTCCGGACGACCCTTCGGGCACGTTCGAGACGCAGCTCTGGGTGGTAGCTCCATGAGCCTCGCACATCACTGGGGCTGCTCTCCAGGTTGCAGCCCAGAAAGCGTCGCGCCACGCCCAAAAAGCCTCAGCATCACGAAGGAACCCTCAAACCTTTCAGACGAAAAGGACAATGCACTGGTGGAAAAACATCACATTGTAACATGGGGCTCTGCTTTCCTGATCACAACGCGTGTTGCAGGGAGGTCCATGTAGAAAGGTATTTTCAAGTTGAAAGCAAACAAGAAGCTCTGTGGCTTGCTCCTGGCAGTTACAGATTTCTCAATGAGTCAGGCATTCTCCGAAACAGCTGCAGGTCGAGTTCAGAACGTCATCTTGGGGAGTCAGGGCTTTAGTCAGGAAACGGATTCCGTGCTTCAGCCTCAGGGCTACCTAATGATGTCGGGCC